AGCCCTTGTGAGTTGAGAGTTATGAGTCCAGCAAGTTGGGGTTTCAACACATGAATGCACCATTTTAACTTTTCCACAAATTCATTTTTCAGCTACTTGGATCATTATCAACTATTGGATCATGTCTTAACCTGATATTTAGAGAGGTTTATGGTTTAAAATGCAGAAGAAAGAAGGGTTTGGTAGGGTTTGTAAGTTGGCAAGACAAGTTGCCATTATTTTATTCAAGAAAAACAAGGAGGAAAGAGAAACTTTTTGATGGAAGTCTTGCAGCTGCAGTGCCCTATACTCTATGCTCACTTAAGTCACCTCATGTCCTTCATTTCACTTGAGTTTTTCCCTACATTGAGCCAAGGAACTGATGTGTTCATCTGCCACACAATCTTGGCAATATTTCCTTTCAAAATCTCCCTCCAAATGCCAATGTACCAAATCTGTACTCACCCTTCATTTCCCTATAAATAGAGGCTTCCTCCCACTCTATTTTTCACACTAGAGCTATCAAGAAAACCAGAAATACTCAGCTCTTTCTCTTTCTCCCTTTGCTTGAAAGTGAAAGAATTAAAAATCATCACTTTTCACCACTTTACACTTTTCATACCAGATCTTGTTCCAAACATTCCACCACTTCAAAAACTATATACACACCCTTAAAATGACCCTCTAAATCTGTTCCCACCATTGGTTTCTCCAAAAAAATCTTTGGATCAAAAAGTCAATTGTTCACACACCATAGTTTGACTTTTGTGCATCTTTCATACCAAATCACTACCTATATCCATTCCTACCATTATAACACTTCAAACACCTCATATCCATGATAGTCTAGCTATATAAAGTCTCAAACAACAGCTGGAAGTTAATTTGTTCAAACTGTCCACAAGATTGCACTTTTCTTCAAAGGGAAGTAACATCACAAGCTTGCTCAAAGGGAAGGATTTATCTCTGGTTTTCTTGGCTGCTAGCATAGGGAGGACTACAAGAGGTATGTAATCCTAAACCTTCTCATTATTTGGCATCATATATGTATGGATTTGGTTTGTTGGATAAGTTAGACATTGTTATGTTGTAAATTTTGTTACCAAAACTGTCTTGGAAGTTAAAGCTTGTCTCATTTCCAATTGCTGCTTGTGTGCATTGATGACTGACTTTTGAATCTTGCATTAGGGCTTGTTGTTCATTTAATAATTGTTGAGATGAGTTTACTTGGCTGTTGATAGCACAAGACTCTGGTTGTTGGATGTTTCTTATGCATTATAATAACCAAAGTTGTCATAAGGCATCGATTGGCAATTATGTGGTATTATAATGATCAGGACTGTCATTTTGTAGAGTTTGTCAACTCATGACCTGATTACTTTTAGGGCTGGTTTCACTTTTATATTGCTAAGTTGGCTGCCATATTTCAGTGAGCAATGTGGTGTATGTTAGATATGCAGTTTATGTTAAAAGGATTGAGGGCAATTACTGTCATGGATGTTGGTTGAGATACCAAGTAACATATTGCTGCTTTTAGGTTTGAGATTTGTTTGGCTGAACACTGTCCTGATTCTTAAACTCTCAATCTTAATGGTGTAGCCTTAGGACAATTTGCATAGTTGTGTTTTTGATGACAATTGGATTTATGTTATTGAACTGTAGCTTGCATTGTGATGGTTGTTTGTGTGTTTGTTTTCAAACCAACTTCTTGAATCTTTATGATTAGGAACTTCTAACTGTACTGTCTTGAGGGTGTTGTTGGATTTGTGAATATATGTTTGAGACCTAAGCTTAGGACATATGGATTGAACAAGTGTGCCTTGCTGCTGTTAGATTTTTGTATGAGGGTTGGACCTGCCATCTCATTTTGTTGAACTTAGAGTTATGAATCTTTGTGTTGGAATACACAATCCTTGATTTAACTTGGTTGTTGACAGATTTGTAGAGTCTGTTTGGGCCTAGTGGTGGCCTTAAGTTTGTTGGGACTTTGGTTGGTTGTGCTGGGTAGGATTCTTGACATTATGCAGTATGAGGTTTTACTGTCTTTATGTTTCCTTGAGGCCTGAGTTTGTCAGCTCAGGTGTAGTTGTCATCATGGTTGATGGTGTTTAGATTATGCTGTTGTTTTATACATGAGGGCTTTGGTTTGGAACAAATTTGGATAACCAATTTTTAAGTACAATCAACCCTCTGCATATGTTTAGGCTTATTATGTTGGCATTGTAATAACAGTGGTTGTCACTGTCTTTTGATTTTGGAGTCTTGTCAAGGCTGTCCAGCCTGCGTCTGTGCTGGTACCTGTGTTTGTTTTGCAAGGGATTTGTTCACATTACAATGTGAATATGTGGCCACTTCTATTACCAAAGTACTCTAGTGTGTTTCACTTTTAATTTTGTTTCTAACTTGTTGATGGGGCTGCTTTTTGGGTTGACTGGTATTGTTATACCAGGAAGGAGGCCTTCATGTTTCAATTTGCACTGCCAGTTTTTGCCTTAAGTTTGGTTAAACCTCTAATGCCATCAGGTCCAACCTTGCTGTTATATTTCATAGGTGCTGAATTCATGTCATGATGCAGCTTGGATGAGTAAACATGTAATGTCTTGAATCATGTTTAAACATTTGTTACACAAAACTGTTTTTTCAAATACCTTTTCATGTTGACAGTATTTTGATTATCTTGATTTGATGTGAGTATGAGTTACATCTTTGGACAAACCTCATTGATAACAAGTATATAGTGTGTATGTACTTTCATTTGACTTTAAGCATGTCTGTTTTGAACTCCAACATTGAAATTGCATTTTAAACCTTTTCATTAAAATTGCAGCTTGATAACCCCATTTTGATCCATGACAAAAATGAGTTATTCCATTGAAACTCATCATAAATTTTGCATTTCAAACATGAGCAGACCAGTGTTAGTCTTGAACTCATTCATTTTGATCATTGTGTCTTGAATCATGCCCATATCGTGTTCATTAATGCATCTCACATGCTAATTTCTCATTCTAATGTTTTTTGATCAAACTTGCTGTTGGAATTCAGTCTACTTCATGTTTACAACTTGCTCAGGCCCATACATGACTTTAAGTGCATATGTTTTAGTCATGGGATACCAAAATGCATTTCAAAGTCTTACATTGCATGAATCATCGTGTTTCTCATTGTGTGCATCATTTCACAAATTGGATTATACCATCTTGTTCCTCTTTTAAAAACAATCAGTTTTGACTTTTGTTTTGCTAACTTTGGTTAATATTTGAACAAGTTTGAATCGAATCGTATTTGGCATTTTTGCACTTGCTAACTTTGGTTGTTTTCCTCCGTGGACAACCTTTACCATTTTATCCTAACCTTAGGATCTGAGTCTTCATGCTCATGTTTAGCGTCCCACCGTGGACATTCTCTACCATAACAATCTCAACTTAGAAGAGGAGTCGCCGCACTCCATGTAAGTACTTCACTATGAATGCTTACATCCCCTTGGAACCTTGACCACAGTCAAGAGTTCCTCTCCCCACCGGGGGAACTACGAACGCTTTGATTTCTCATTGAGAATACGTAGGCACAAGATGCAACATCTTGGCGAGCCAACTAATCACTAACTTCCTGTTTAACATAACCTTTAATTTGGAGTCACCGCACTCTATGTAGGTGTCTCTCCACAGACATTTATTTGCCCCTTGGAACCTTGACCACAATCAAGAGTTCCTTCCCCCTTAGTTAGGGGAACTATGGTTGCTCTGATTCCATTCCCGTCAGGATACGTAGGCACGAGATGCGATGTCTTCGTGAGCAAACTTTGTACTTTATACTCTTTAGATCTTTACCTTAGCACATTTCCCTTTAGCAAGCAAACTTTAGCATAAAACACAAATATTAACAAGAGGTTCCTGTAGAGTACTACAGATGCTTAGGATGTGAAATACCTACCCTATGCATAACCAACCCCCGAACCTTTAGATCTCTCTTTGCTTAGCTTTAGGCCTTGCCTTTTGCTTTGCATTTTTTATAGGTCTTTCTTTCTTTAAACCTTTCCTTTTGGATAAATTAAAGTCCGGTTGTAAATTGTAAGAATTAAGATTCAAGTTAATCAATACCTTGGTATCACGATTCCCACCGCAACACATAGCACCACGATTCTCATTTAAAAACTTCTCATAAATCAGGGATAAACATTCAGGTGAAATCTGTGATGTATCAATATCCCTGATGCCTTCTCTATATTACATTACTTGGCAATGAAAGATACTGAGAATCTTTTCGCGAAACTAATCCATCAACCCCATATTCATATCCATTCTCTTGTGCCAAGCACTCGACAACCACTTCTTCCAAATCAAACCTAGTTTGATCAAGATTCTTCCTCTTCTCAACAGGTTTTGACATAGACTTCTTCTCCATATACTTAATCACAAAAGGAGCATTCTTAACAATATTTTTCTTAGTTATATCTTTTCCCCAAGGCAACACTTGTGAAATTTTCACAAGCGTCTCAAGAAGCTCTTTATACCTAGTTCTACAAGTGGAAACAACAAAATGAACCTCCTTCGCCAAATCTTCCATACGAACTTCAACTTGGTTAATTTCAGCAACCAAAACCAAAATCGCAACAACCAAAGGAAGCGGCCGACGACCGGTACTTAAAAACAACTTCACCGCACATTGCAACAAAAACACTCCCTGTTTCTTCATTTTATCAATCAAACTCCCATTAACATCATCAAAACAACAAGAGCTATTAATAGTCCTTTCCAACGGATACACAATATCAAACTCAGGAAAATCACTTCCTCTCAAATCCAAAAAATCAATAACCCTGAGAATCATTTTCCCAAGCTCATAAACATCACAAGCAAGAGCATTAGCAATTTCCGCCATAGGTAAAGGACGATCACTCTTCCACATTACGACATAACAACAGGCCCCAATCAAAACTTGAAACCAGTTCCCTTGACCGAATTCACCGTCGGTGATATCAGAAATCATGGATTTAATTTCAATAGTTTTGGAACATAATCCTAACCTATTAGTGAATTCTTCAATGGAATTACGAGCGGATAATAATTTCTGTCTTTGTAAGAGTAAAAGTCACCTGAACCTGAGGTTCCGATGTGGACGAAGGTGCCTTGTGGACCGTTGATGCCGCCAGTGAAGGATTCATATTGATAGAAGGTTTGAACGATGCCGCAGGAGGCACATAACAATACCCCAACATTGTCGTCGCGTGAAAGAGAGGTGTTGCTGCAGCTGGTGTAGAGATGAGAGGTAGACATGGAATTGGGAATAAAAATTAAAGCTTTTGATCAATTTCAATGGCGATAACGAAATTCTGGCGTGAATGTGACGATACTAAAAGTGGAGTTATAGTTTCTGTTTTTGGTTCAACGAAAACCGAGTGATGCAATATACCCTAATTCTGTTACACCAACTGTTGAGAAGCTCAAAAGTTGTAACTCCTAATCGACAGTACATGTACTACTCCCTCCTCTTACATACTTCATAAAAAAGAAAAAAAAACATGTATTTAAAAAAGTTTAATATCGATGAAGCTAATGATTTTATTTTAGTTTTTTTAATTTATTAAAAGAAATTCTTTGATATTCATGAGTTTAAGTAAAAGTATTTTAGTGCAAATTCTTTTAAAAGTTTAATTTATTTTAAAATAAAATAAAGAAGTGATAGTGGTATTAAATTAGAGTGTTTGATTGGTTAATAGAATGAATACTCAATTAAATTCAAAGGTATTAAAGGATTTATCATTACCACGTAAAAATACAAAAGTATCTTTAAATTTCGTAGACGCGTCTTCGAATGTATCCTAAGTGAATAGAATTACGACAATGAGAAAAACTGCAGAGATGCATCTTCGTGCATATTTCAAAGATATATTTCCGAACTGTATTTGTTCAAAAATACGTTAGAATGTCAGTCTTAAGACCTTGCCTGACCTTGTGAACCTCTGTTCGACCCCCAGCGGGGGCGTTTTTGTGTTATTTTCATTTTATTTCTTTGTTTTGATATTTTATTTTCCTTTTCCATTTTTTAAAACGTGTGAGAGTGATCTGTTTGGTTATGTGTTGTGCTTCCATTCGCAATGTCAAGGGTTTAACTCTTGGTGAGAACATTTCCTTATTTTTAACACTTGACTTCTTTTTATTTATTTTATTTTATTTCCTTCTTTTCTTTTCTTGTTTTTATTTTATTTATCTAAAATTAGTTTTAAATATTATAAAAAAACCAAAAAACTTATTTTATTATTTTAATGTGTTTTGTTTTATTTTTCAGCCTTTTATTTTATTTTATTTTCCTTTTTATTTTATTAGTTTTATTTTGAATCTACAAATTTATTTTCTTTCTCTTTTCACTTGCGAGTGAATTATTTATGTCACACCTTTTTTGAAATCCTCCATCCAAAATATTTGATGTGGGGATCATTCTGGTTTCCTCTAGGCAATTGGAATTCATTTTTGTTGTTATGAACTATTTCTCTAAATAGATTGAGACAATGCCGGTATCGAAGATCACTGATTGGGTGTTTCTACTAGAAGAAACATTTACAAATTTAAGCATCGTCTCCAATAATGAAACTCAACTCTCCAACTCAACAATAAGAGAATCTTGCCATAATTTGGAAATCCAAACCAATTTGTCTCGATGAAACATCCTTAAGTCAAGGAATCAAGTCGAATCTTCCAACAAAATTGTCCTTTATAACATTAAGAAAAAACTAAAAAAGCCAAAGGGCATATGGTCAGAACAACTATGAAGTATAATTTAAATCTTTACGCTTCTTGGAACAAAATATTATTTTCACTTCAAGCCTTTATTTAATTAACATTTTGTTACTGAGTTATAGGTTTTATGGTCGTATCACATGACACTCCAATTCTCTATGAAGGAAACACGATATCAAGTATTGTATGGTTCATATGTCATGCTACTCATGGATAAAGATCGATCTTCTCCACCTCTTACAGATCAATCTCACAAACTAAACAATTCTTTTGCTGAGAGATACTAAAAATTATGGAGAATCTGAATTAAAGTGGTGCATTCCCTACCTACGTGTCAACCCAAAAAGAGGTGTGGAGACCATAACCAACTTTCCTACTAATACTGTTCTTAAACCAATTAGAACTTCATTTGCTTTTCAAAGAGAATAAATTTTGAATTTGTGTTCAAAAGAGGATGTCAGTTATTTCTGACCTCATCACTTATATAGCCCAAAACCTAAGTTCTAAAACATAACTGAAACACAAACTTAAACAAAGTATAAGAAAAACTAGAAGACGAAAAATGCAAAATCTAGAACAAAATTCACTCAGCATAAAATTCAAGAATCCACACCTCTTTTTGGGTATGTCAAATCTGGTCTACATTAATTTAATGGAGTAATACTTGTAGATTTAGTTATCAAACTCTAGAAACATCTTTTTACAGGGTTAAGTTACAAACTTACAATAGAAATACATAAATATGACAAAGAGGAGGAAAGGGAAAATGATCTCTTAGTAACTTGCATTACAAATGAATAAAATAAAAAGTTTGAGTACTAAATTTGCAGCATGAAAATATCTGCTCTATTATAAGATTGTTGTAAATCAGAAAAGATCACTATTCAATAGATCATTAAAATGCTAGTAAATCTGAAACCTCTAATGTAATAATGTCTTTATACCTTAAACCTCTCTTATACAACGCCGGAGTTAAACACGTGTAGGCCTAATAAAGTATTGTAATGCCCCTTTTCAATTTCTTCTTCCTTTACTTTGTAGAATCAAGATTCAAAGCCTTCTATGTTTTGATGAAGACAACTCATACAAGCTTGGCTGAGAAAAATACTTTAACTATATACCCGTAGGGGTATATGCTTATTGAAGTTGCTTACACTATATACCTGTGGGGGTATATAACTGAAGATAAAACCTGAAGCACACTTCTGCTAAACTCTTCACAAAAAGCAAGAGGTGCAAGCACATCAACAAGAATAAATTATCAAGACCATCGCAAAAATCACATACATCGCTATGGATCAAAGTTTCATCTATCAATCTCAAGTGGTGTTGAAGATTCAAGATTCGGTATAACTTATTCTACTTAGAAATAGTTATACAAGTGTTCTATCAATCCTTTTTTAATCCACCACTATCACTAAACCTTTTAAAAATGTTTTTAAAATACATTCTATATTTTAAATAAAGTATTTTTGGAAAAACCTTCAGTGTTAACCGATTAACCATATAGGTTAACCGATTAGCACATTTCAAAATAATGATTTTTGGGCATTTTAACAGTGTTAACCGATTAACCATATAGGTTAACCGATTAACACATGAAAAACTTCAATATTTTGAACGTTGGAAAGGTGTTAACCAATTAACTTATATGGTTAACCGATTAACACTGTTACAACAGTCAAAAACAGTAGCTTTCCATGAAAGATTGCATTGTTCTAAATTCTTCTTACTGGCTATTTTCTCAGTCCCTTAATCATACCTTTTTGGAAAGGTTTTTCACAATTTTAAATTGATTTCAATTTTCAATTTCAAATACACCTTCAAGAAACAATTTTAAAAAATACTCCTTCTTCAACCTTTTTGAATTTTCACAAAAAGTGTTCAAACCAGAATTCTGAAAAAGCCATTGAAATTCATTTTCACACCTTCACAACTTTTTCATACAAAAGAACACTTGTATAATTACTATGAGTATTATTTGTTTCAAGAATAAGATCAGTATTTGTTATTGATAAACATTCAAATTATTACCATACAAAATTCAGAATTGATTACAGCTTATTTTAGGAATGTTAAAATAAGTTTGTAAGGTTTTCCTTGTGATTCGGATTATGGATACAAGAGGTCATTGTGTGAGATATTCCTTCTCAATAGGACTTAAAATATTGTAAATCCAAGAGGATTGTTCTTGGTTGTTAGGATTGTCTGTGTAGGAAATCCAACATTAAATAGTGAAATTCTCTTTCGTGTTGAAAGGGGAGTGGAGTACTCTCGGATTGTGAGGGGAACCACTATATATCGCTGTGTCATTTACTTTCCGCTTTTACCAACTTTCATCACTAAGAAACTCTTAAGGAAAGTAAAATCCAAGAATCACAGAAAAACCGGAAAAATTGTCTAAGTACCTAATTGTTGCACCCTAATTTTTGACCATAAGATCCCACCTCCTTTGTGCTTTTTCTTGCGTTTTTTTTTACTTTATAATTTCCTATTTATGCTTATTGCGACTAACAAGTTTGTATAGGTGCATAAGTTTCAAAGATAAAGTACTGGTTCTCTCAGTTAACAATACTTAAGTATGGTGTGAAGGCCCAATTTTGATTTCAAGTTATACCCAAGGATTTCCTTAAAGAGTTGTGTGTCCTGCCACGAGTTATGAACATACTCATAATTATCAAAGAGGGGCCTTAATGTGATCACAGTCCGAGGCTTCAGTACTTGTGTTCTTCGCAAAGTCAAAATGGGGATATTGTTGTTTCAAATCAATATCCTAATCATAGTCATAAACCAAAGTCAATCTATGCGACTACGTTGTGAGTTTATCAATGAAAAGTCAAGACCCACGTTACAATTTCAAGTTTTTAGCCCATCCTGATTTTTGAATAGAGTTGTTTGCTATGAATTCATTGGAAAGATTTAGTTAGCTTTGTGTTATGCAGAGGTATGATATTTTATTTCTTCAAGAAGACAACAGCTAGCCTACAAGCGGTACACTTTGAAATATTTCGGAATATTAATAGCCTTGGAGGGTTGGAAACCGTTGCACTATTGCCATTCTCTTTTCACCATTCGGAAGTCAACCACTTCTAATTAAGTATTGGTACTGTGGCATTATCATCATTTTGCTGCTATTACACTGGTCCACACTTTCATAACCGCATGTTTGCCCATTGGATTCCGGCGGAACCGAACTAGTTCTTATTATTGACATTTGTGTAAAATAAGAGAAACACAATAAAGTTCAAGGCATGTCAAATTGTTATGATCAAATTAACACACAATGCATAAGTGTTTGTGATTGCACATGGCATTATCCATCAAATCCATGTGGCATTGGTTCCTAGCAGACAAAATCATTAACCTATCTTAAGGCAGGATGGCTAATATTTGACGTCCAAATAGGTGTTCTAGCATAAATAACTTGGTGCCTCCGTGCAAGTAATTCCCAAATGGTCTTCAGGCTTCATACTGCAGCGATGTCGCACGGCTTTGGTCGTCGGCTGCAAGTCAAAACACAACAAGTTGAATCCCTCGCACAACCTGTCAAACTAGCGGCAATGATTCAGAGAAAGTAATTCAAGAAGAGGTGCATTCGAAAAGTGATAGAATTCTCAATTATTTTACCGCATCCCGTGGCAAAGTCGCCATCAATAGTGGATCCCAGGCTATGAGAATCTCTCGGTTGTATTAGAAGACACCAAGCTAAGATTTAATTGGAGAGAATATCACTTAAACCACCTGCAATAATGAGGAGCATTCAGAATGTTTTAAACCACACTTAGAAAATCATTTGAGCTTCATAAGGATTTGAGGAGTATACCTCGCGGGATGTTGGCGGTCGTTTCAAGAAGAAGTCAATCCAAAAGCTCTGTAGAGGAGGATCTGCAATTTCACAACATCTCTCATTCTGCAGCAGAGTATTATATGGACTAGAGATTTCAACCTCATTAGAACAAAGCCTCACCGACAACTCCGAGCAGGTTTTTCTTTGTCAAGCTTCATCACTATCAATTGGTTATTGTTTCCAGTTGTTTGCCGAGAGAGCCACAACCCAGTATGCCATTTCAATCTTTTATACGAGACCTCTCCATGCCGAAATCAACTCAGAACCTGTCACAAACGGATAAGGGTCAGAATAAGGGACTGAACTACGTCAGGTCGTGAATGTGAATGGGCAATAAAGTGTAAACAATGAGTCTGCCAGTCCCATTACGTTTCAAGTTTTTAGCCTCTAACTCACCAGGATATTGACAATATTGGACCGTAGCTGTCATTGAACGGGTGTCCTACGCCACAACAATATTATAATTACCGATACTATCTCGTGTCATACTCCTCGTGTTCTTCAAATACAGCCGCACCTGTGTTCAAAAGAAACATTCCAATTTATGAGCAGTCGCGACAATTTGAACAAGTTAATAAAAGAATAGAAAAACACAGACACTACAATCCATTGCTTTCACTGTGATATTTGCAATTCTCGTACTTGATGTTTGTGAACCTGTTGATTGTAGTAGCAAACCTTTGAAAACCATTATTGTTAGTCAATCAGTCAAAGCAAATTTCAAGACAATTCAAAGTGCCATTGGTTTTGTCCCTGATGGAAACTCACAATGGATTCACATCCAAATTTCTTCTGGCGTTTACAAGAAGCAAGTCTTAATTCCCATCAACAAACCATGCATTTATCTGGAACCACCTGGAGCAGACAAATCGAAACGCATAAAATGGATGAAGAGCTTGAGTGGACATGAACTTGATAAATTCTTGAGCCTCTCTTCTATTAATCAAGAAGGATGGATTTCCAAATTGCCAGCAAGCATATTCCATTAAATGATTGATACTTTGAGTGTAAAAGAAATTGCTCCCGTTGCAGGTAATCTACGGTTAATTAGTTGCCTGAAGTTGGTTAGCTTGAAAGGTATGAGCAATAAGTGGGTATATGCAGTTAAAAAATAGTTATATGGAATTGGAGCTTGTCTGAACTAAAGCAGTAGTGCGTACCATTAACTTTGGCCGGAGGTTGATTGGCGAACCATTGCAGAAGTGTTTGAATGATTTCCAAAATAACATTCTGTCCCATTTCCCCAGCTGCTGCAAATAAATCACTAAAGTAAGTCAGTACCTTCAAAGTGTGACTAAAATGAAAAGGGAACTCAACACCAATCTCATTACCTTCTCCAAAAAGCAACAACGCCAAACACAGGTGAATATAGAAGAATGTCATTACCGGCAATGCTTGTAGGAGAAACCATTGGAGAGATTTTACATGCTAGTCAATTTGCAAAAGAACTTGTTTCAGCAGTTAATTGCCAAACTCCAACTCCTCAAAGGTCAAGCAGAAAAGCAAACAAAACCACACATAATGGTTCTCCCTCACTTCAAAAATTCGTTCGAGAATCACTTCTAAGGTTTATCCACCAAGTTTGTCTAAAACCTCAACCTGTATGAGAGCAGAATCAACAAGTCTGAAATACGATTAAGTCAAACGGCAAACACAATGTTTCCCAAAATAGATGCAGATATGCTCAAAACGAAAAAGGAAAGAATCAATATTTTTGACCAAAGTATCAGACATAATCAACAGGATAAGCTGAAAAGAGAACTACATTAAACATTATCAAAATATCATCAAGACAAGAATGGAAATGTTTTCAAAATCAGAACGCCTCAAACGGAAATACATTATCATGGTCATTATCACACAAATCCGAATTGGGAAAGGAATTAGCTATTGAATTGATCAGCAAAGAATGAAAGGCTATAAGAAGGAGAGGATTAGCAAGAAGAGATTTCACGACAACACAGAGAAATCGATTCACAAAATCGCAACTATAGAAATCCCTAATCAAAAATCGTAAAAAAGGGGAAGCTGAGGAACTTATCTTCTTCATCCTCCACCGCCGCCACTTCTGTCGCCAAAAATCACCGTTACCGTCCGCGAACCCACGGTGCCGTCTGCGAATCATCCATTGCAAACCCTCAACCGTCCACGCAAACGCAAATTTGAACTCAGATCCTGCAACGTCACTACGTACTTTGGCAGCTCCAGAAATCATCGCCGAAGATCGCTACGAAGGATCTTCATTCACAACAGAACCCATCGCCGTGGCCGATACCTCATGGAAAGAAGAGGTAGGGGCTGTAAACGAGAGAGAAACGGAAAGCAATGGGGAATGGCAGAAACAAAAGATGGAGAGGAAATCGATGGAGATGAAGACGGAACCGCGATCGGAGAGGGCGCGATCGGAAAGGGCACGAACGGAGAAGGGGAATTTAGGGTTTTGGTTTTTTTTTTCTATTTTATTTTGTTTACTGATGTAATAATTATAATCACACACACTCACTCACCACACACACACCCCGTAACACTTTGCACCCCCTAATCCCCTAATTAACTCACCTAATCACCTACCACTAAAACCTAATAATAATTTTTTTATATTTTAATCTAATTAATAATTACCCACTTTAGGCCATTAATATTTAATTTGATTGATAAATCAGTAATTAATCTTTAATCAACCTTTTTTAAAATGAACCTTTAATTCTTTTTAGTTAACTCTTAACTAATTAATTAATCCTTTTCAATTAGAGCTTTTCTTCTAATCATCCTTTTATAAACTAATGATCTTCCTTTTTTTAGATAAATAATAATATGTTTTTATCCTTTTCATATTTAAAATTAACTTTTCAGCAATAATAATAATAAATCCTTTTTTTAAAACTCAAGTCAACCTTTAGCCTTTTATAATAATTAAGAGTCCCCTTTTAATAACTTTTTATAATTAATAAATAAACAACTACTCTTTTTTTAAACTCATTTCATGGCAATCTTTTATAATAACTTTATCAAACCTTTATATATTAAGAAAACCATTTTATAATTTAAATGACGTATATCTCATTTGTTAATAATAGTAATCGAACCCTTTTTTAAAAGTCATTCCCTTAAGTTTCTTAAAAACAATTTCACCAAAATAATATAACTTTTTAAATCAAATCTCACCGATGATATTTAACTAAAACTAATCTAACTTCTTTCTTAAAAAACAATTCAACTCTTTTCTCCAAATCAATCAACTGAAACCAATCCAGCTATTTTCTTCAAATCAGACGATTAAAATCAATCAACATCGCAAAATCAATTGTGCACTTCACGACACATTTCACTCTCACGCACTTCAGCGCTTTCATGTGTGTGTATGGTTTACTTTCCTTGCATTTTATTCTTCGGCAATTTATATTATCGTAATTTACATTACCGCATCGCATCCGTCCAAAGGAAAAACCTACACATGACTTAATACTTGTGTGTAGTGCACATCATTTGCATCATTCTCCCACGCGATCCTTGATCCTATTCAAGTCGATCTCTAGGATAGATCCTACCCCCATAGGAAGGACTTTGTCTTTATCTTTACAACTTAGACAAAACACAAACAAACAACTTAAAAACAATGTAAACACAATAGAGAATAGATGTTAATCATCTTAAGTGAGATATAACTTCTCAATGCCCCACAACACAAATACAATAAATATCCTTTTTCGCTTAAGAGAGATAGAGGCGTACTTGTCGACCCTTCCAAGTACTTGAGCCCTTCTCTTAAGACGACACAAATACAATTTTTCTACAAACATGTGGTGGCTTAAATTAAGTAATCTCACTTAAAATGAAGAATCATCTCTTCTCCTAAACCCAATCAACCAACTACCCTAAACCCGTAGGAACTTTGACCAAAGTCAAAGAACTCCTCAAACCCTTTAGGTGGAACTACAAAATACTCTGATTCCACTCCCATAAAGGATATATAGGCATAAGATGCGGCATCTTATCGAGTATACTTAGAAAATAAACCCTTAGGTCTTTTAACCAATAAGCAGATAAACCTTAGAAATAAACAAACATAAAACAAGAGGTTCCTGTAGAATACTACAGAAACTTAGGATGCTAGTACCTTCCCTAAGTTTAACCAACCCCCGAACCTATAACTCTCTAAACCTTGCATTTGCACTGCATTGTGGGAATTTCGATCTTTATCCCTTCCTTTGGACAAATCAAAGTTCGGTTGCAAATTGAATTAACGATTCAAACTAATCAATAGTTTAGTATCCAAATTTCACTGCGACACTAATTCACCCCCCCTCCCTCTAAGGCATACATATTACTTACATTTGGCATCAGAGCAGGTTAAGGTAACCTGTTCCTATCGATTCAGAATGGCTTCCGCTAGCACAAATCCGGTTTTCAAAGATGGTGGTAGTAGTAACAAGCCTCCACTCTTTTCTGGAGAATATTTCGACTTTTGGAAGATTCGTATGAAAGCACATCTTGAGGCTCAAGGAGACGGCATGTGGGAAACCATTGAAAATGGTCCACATTGTAACGCCCCAAATTCTGAATTCCCAATTATTTTGTTGAGTCCTTTAATTTATTTGATTGGTATCTGTTTTAAAATTGTGAATTTATGTGTTAATATGTTATGTTTGCTTATTGTGTTATTTTTACCGATTCGGAGAGTTTTTGGGGTAAATAGAATAGAGGGTGTTTTAGACATTTAATATTTTGTTAAGTGAATTAATTGTGAGAAATTAATTGGTAAGTGGATAGAAAGAATTTGAGAGGAAAGAAAATAGAGTATGAGATAAGAGAGGAAAAGAGAAAGTTAGTAACATAAGGAGAAAAACAAGAGAAAGAAAGAAGGAGAAGAGAAAGTGGAGAAAAAACCTAGAGCAACCAAGAATCATCACCCAAGCTTTCGATTGATCGGGTAAGGGTGTGGAACTCTATTATACTGTTAATGTGTATGATTATGTATGCTTTTGTCGGTTTGATTTTGGATTGGAGGGAGTTTTGCTCTTTTTCATTTTAGGGTAATATTAGGATTTAATCGATAGAATGTTATTTTAATCGGTTAGAATCGAGAATGGATGGTGTAGTTTAGTCGGGTATCGTTGGGTTGAGCTTTCTGGAGTTGTTTGGTTTTTGAATCGGTTGGTTTGTGGAGTTTGGGATTTTGGACAGCCATGGAGTTTCTGAATTCGCAGGTTCGCCAGGCGAAGCCCAGCGAGCGGTAGCGAATACAAACAGAACCAAATTGCCCTGTCTTCGCTGGCAAGTTTGCCAGGCGAAGGTGCGTAGCGAAGGTTCGCCGGGCGAGGGTGTTGGCGAGTACTAGCGAGTAATTCTAGAATTACTCCCAGTGGTCTTCGCTGGTGAGTTCGTCAGGCGAACAAAGCAACGAAGGTTCGCCAGGGGCTTCGCCAGGCGAAGGTTGGCGAATGCGACAACATTCCCTGTTTTCTGTGTTTTTCCTTTCCTTGTGGATTGTTTGGGGAATGCATAATTATATATATATATATATATATATATATATATATATATATATATATATATATATATATATATATATATATATATATATATATATATATATATATATATATATATATATATATATATATATATATATATATATATATATATATATATATATATATATATATATATATATGTGTGTGTGTGTGTGTGTGTGTGTGTGTGTGTGTGTGTGTGTGTGTGAATATGTATGCATTTAGAGAGTGTCATGAGTCATGTTGTATGTGAAGCATCATGGTATGCATTCTTGTGTGTCTGATCCCGCGTAAGATCTGCAGAAGCCTCTTGTGCCCTTGTGGGGTGTGAGCGATGGTTTATATTTTTGATCCCTAGGAGGATCTGCAGAACCTCGTATGATACGATGGTTATAATTGATTCCTCGTAGAATCTGCAGAACGATTGTGTGCCCTTGTGGGGTGTGAGCAATCAGATTGTGTGCCCATGTGGGGTGTGAGCAATCCTGAAACATCGTGTGCCCATTTGGGGTGTGAGCGATGGGTGAACATCGTAGGCCCGACGGGGAGTTACTTCGGTAACGAGCGATGGTTCCATTTTGTTCTTCAAATGAACCTGCTGAATGAGTCGATACCACATTTGCATCTGCATAGAGTCGTGAGTCGGTCTCTATGGGTTGCATTGGTCATCTTTATATGATGCATTGGTGAAATGAACATAATTATGTATGTTTATATGAATTGTTGGAGGAAAAACATAATTGTAAATGTTTATGTAGAAATGTCGTGTATGTGTAGAGGCATGATTGATGAATATGCTTGGTTATGTTAATATATATGGTGGTGTATATGATGAATTGTGGTGAGAATATGAATTATGTATAACTTGTGTATATATATATAGTTTTATGCATTGACTGTTATGATATTGTTTCTCACCCTTCTGTTGTTTTATAATGCTCTATGAGGCATTGCAGAGTAGGTTGCTGGAGGTCCTTTTTGTGAAGCGAGTCTTCATCTTTTGGTCGGTTGGCCTGATATGTAGCACCGGGTAGATAGGTTTAGTTGATTCTTTTGTGATACATCTGCGTATGTATCTGCTGATGATATGTTTTGTAAAACATGAATTAACTGAATTTGATGTATATATGTTTATGAGTGAAATGAATCAATGTTTAGATGTTTCCGCTTTATTCTAAATGTTGAGATATGGGTTTTAGAATTAAATTGCTTATTGTGAGTTGCCCATTGTTGCATATCTATCTGAGCAATGGTTGTATATGTTTAATTTCACGCATAATGTGATGCGCCTCTTTTATACCATGCTTTAATTAAACTCTGATGAAATTTTTTATTAAGTGCCTAAATATTTATTTGATTATTTGGGGGTATAGAAAGGGGGTGTTACATGAAGTGGTATCAGAGCCAGTGTTGAGTCAATTGTGTCTGTCTTATTGTTGTGTTGGTTGAACAATAGTTTAACCTTGTGTTTATTTTTGGGATTCCTCAAAATATGGCAGGTCGTAATGACAATGCTATGGATGCGGCGTTGGAGGCTATGGCTAGGGCGGTGCAAGGTGCACCGAATGCTAATGTGAATGATGAGTTTAGAAAGAATCAACCACCGGTATTCAAAGGGAGATTTGATCTGGACGGTGCTCAGATCTGGTTGAAAGAGATTGAGAGGATCTTTAGAATGATGAACTGTGCTGAAGGGAACAAG